GTTCTGGACACACGGCGGGGGGTGAGGGGCACCTGAGGAAGTGCTGGGCTCCGCCCGGCTCCCAGCTCCACGCTGTCCAGTTGAGGACACTGTGCCGGGGATGCTCAGGGTCCTGTGGGACTGCCCTGAGCCGGGCCTGCGCTCAGAGGACTGGGTGCTGTGCCCAGGGCGGGAGAGGGACAGCCAGCGCCTCTCAGAGCTGCCAGCGCAGGCTGTCGGGCTGGTCCGGGCTGCCACTGACCTGCCGTCCCCCGCTCGGCCGGCAGGTGTCGCTGCCGCCGGTGCTGGGATGAGATGGGAATCTAGACAGGCTGGGCCACCTCTGGCTTTGCCTTGATGGATCAGAAACAGAATTCTCCAGAAAAGAAGAAGGAAAGTAGATTCCTGCCTGGGAGCTGGGCTGCGTGGCAGCTCCAGCTGCCCCTGGGGGTGCGCAGTGTGCAGGAGGAGCTCAGGTGTGCTCACGCTCCTCCCAGTGCGGGCACTGCTCACGGCCGCAGGCGCCCGGCCCAGCTCTCAGCGAGCCCTCCGGCTCTCGTCCGGCTGTGCCTGCAGGAAGCGTGCCCCTGGGCAAGTGTCTCCTCGCCATCTGTTCTCCACCGGGGAGGTAGTGCTGAGCCATGTGCGCACTGCCTTTTATGATTGGTTTAGGAGTTTAACGTTTTAACATCATTATCGCTTTCAGAGAGGAAGGGAGAGGGAGAGAGAAATGTCACTGATGAGACAGAATCACTGGTCGGCTGGGCTGCCTCCTGCTCGTCCCCTCCTGGGGATTCCAGCCTGTAGCCTGGACATGTGCTCTGATCAGGAATCAAACTGACTCCTGGTTCATAGGTTGATGCTCAACCACTGAGCCACACCTGCCAGGCTGCATTTTTGTTTTTATTTTGCACTTCCCTATAGCATACAGCTGTTAGCTTCATCCTAGCAGGGGTTAGCCTGGTGGGTGTCTGACACTACCCATGTCCACGGAGCTGCTGGAGACGGAAGCTTTGCTGCAAGGTGAGCGGCTCTGGGAGCACATGGGAGGCGGACAGTGAGGCTCAGCGGCAGTGCTCCCCCTGGGAAGTGTGTGTCAAGGTGTGAGAGCCCGAACTGCCTGCTTCTTGCAGATGGAGAAGTTTGTTGCATCACCATGTGGGGGTTGGACCGGTGCTGTGGGCGAGCGGCAGGTCCTGGGCGAGGGCGGGATGCAGGTGCGCCCTGTGTGCGGAGAGAGCAGCTCTTGGCGCAGAGAGCCTGCTCGGACTAGACAGCCAGCTCCCCTGCGTGCTTTCCTGCACCACCAAGGCCTTCCTGGCCAGCTTGCTTTTTCCGTGGGAAAACGACGTGCACCCCACGAGGATGTTTTCATGTCACCTGATCACGGACGGGAAAGACTGAAGGACACACCCGCCCCGCACACCCACCGCCAGCCCATCCCGCCCTGCCCCTCATCCCCGCTCTGTGTCAGTGTCCGGCTTTCTGTAACGTCCCAATCTAAACAGCAGTGATGACGTTTGTGTAAATCTGCAAATGAGGCCCCTGCTGCCCATCGCTTTTCTGTTGTCACTACACTGCTACAATAGGCGCCAAACAGCCTACGTTCCTAGAGAATCTAAGGAACCGCCTGAGACACGGCTGGGAACCCTCTCTTCTCTTTCATTCCCTCAAAATCAGTTTGTTTAGAAAAGCAAATGCTGGCCCAGAGTCCTGCAGTCTGTGCTTTGCTGCCTGTGGTGGGGTGAGCTGGCTGGAGCTGTAAGGTAAATGTTTTTGAAAGTTGCAAGTGTGCCCTGGCCAGTGTGCTCAGTGGTTAGAGTGTTACCCACACACCGAGGACTTAGGGTTCGATTCCCGGTCGGGCACATACCTGGGTTGCAGGTCTGATCCCCGGCCCCAGCCATGATGCTTGTGGGAGGCAACCAATTGATGTCTCTGCCACTTGCACGTTTCTCTTCCTTTCCTTCTCCCCCTCTCCTCCTCCCTTTCTCCCTCTCTCTTCCTCTCCCCCTCTCCTTTCCCCTCTCCCCCTCCCGTCCTCCCTCTCCCCCACTCTTTAAAAATCAATAGGAAAATAGCCTTGGGTGAGGATGAACAACCGTAAAAGGAAAACTTACAGAGTGTGTGATGAGAGAGCTCCCTAACGGCCACCGGGGCCATGTCTTCTTCTGTACGTGTTCACGTCCAGAAATCTTCTTTGGGAAAACGTGGAGTTCACGGTTCGAATCAGGGATCGACATGCCTGCTGGAGACTTCCTTTCTAAGGCAGGTGTGCCTCCATTCCCTGTGTGTGGCCCTATGGGATTGTGCCTTCATTCCGTCCACGTGCTGTGGGCTTGTTTGGGTCCTTTCTACCAGTGATCCATCTGGGTTTCCAGCCATGGATTCTCTGAGATGTTGGTGTCTGTTGTGGCATTTTGGTGACGAGTTCAGAAGTGAACTGTGCGTGTTCACATCCAGAACCTGAACCACAGCCACGGCTCTTGGTCCAGCAGCCGCAGCTCGGTGTGGGCTGCAGGCGTCAGGGGTGGGGCCACGTGGTGAGCCCCACGCAGTGGTGCCCAGAGTCCCCGTCTGTTTCTTGTGGTCTTTAAAACACGTTCTACTCTCAGATAGTCAGAGCACAAAAACGCTGCAGAACTCATACAGACTTCCCACGTGTCCCCGCCTCAGCCCTGCTGCAGCCGCTCGAGGGCCTTGATCCAGTGTGGCCTCCTCCTGCACGGGCCACCTTGTCCTCAGTGGGACTTCTCTTTGCAGGCTGTCCCTGGCCAGGGTGGTTTTCTTGGTATTTCCTGTGGCTGACAAGTTACTGTTTCTCCTTTGCAGCAACTAAGTGTCCAGTGGGGAGAGACTTAGGAAACATTCCGTTTCTCCTCCGGGTGCCCACTGCTGGCGGGCCCAGGGGCTGCTGGGATTGCTGTGAGGAAGGCTCGCTCATGCCTCCTCCACACCGAACAGGCTCTGCCTTTGGGGTCCCCGGCTCCCCGCCTCCCCGGTCCCATCTCCTACAGAGCTGGCCTTGCTCCTGGCCGCACTCCTGACAGGTGCCTCCATTCTGCCGGCACCTCCTTTCAGGCAGGCTGGGCACCTGGTGCTGGCAGTGCCGGCGCCTCCTTCAGGCTGGGCACACCCGTCCCTGGTCGGCTGGGGACGGTCAGCAGCTGGGTCAGTGCCCGTGGTTTGTGGCCAGGCTCGCAGTCAGCCCTGGCCTTCCACCCCTTCTCTCCCTGGGCCCCCGCCTCCCAGACCCCTCCTCACCTGCTCTTCCCATCTCTGCGTTCTCCTCGGACACTGAACTTTTACTCACCAAGAACCCGAAGCAGGACTGGACTTCACGAATCTGGCATTTTGGTATCTGATGCCAGTGTCAGCAGCACAGGCAGGGGGTTCGAGCCACCCCGCTGTGGCCTATGTCCCCCAAACCCCGTGGGACCTGCTGGTAGGACAGCAGAGTGTCGCTCACCTCCCGGGGGCGTGAGGCTAGGCTTCTGAGTTGGAAGTTGGAAGTAAGGTGGGGGTTTCGAGTGGCAGTGGGGTCCTGACAGGACTGGGTGGGCTGGGCTGTCAGGATTGGTAGAAACTCAGGGCTGTGATTTTGAGGTTCTGGGAGGCCAGGTGTAAACTGGGTGAGTCACTCTGGGCACCCCAGGTGCCCCTCGGGCAGTTGCTGGCTGGGGGGTGGGAGGGATGAGAGCCGGGCCGTGGCTGGACATCGGTCTGCGCTGCTGAGTGAGTGTTGGTGCTGCATCTCGATATGACGGCCATAGCTGTGTCCAGGCTCGGCTCCCGCCGGGCCACCCCGGAGGTGGGAGCGTGGCTCTCCGTCGGCACTGCTCACTGGAAGCTCCTGCGATTGGAGTGGCTTCCTCCTCTTGGACGACTAGTGAAAATGGTGAAAAAACTAAGAATTCCGCATCCCTCAGTGGTTGTATTTACGGAACAGATGACCCACTTTTGTTTTAGTACGTGCATCTCGCGTTCACATGCTGTGAGCGGTGGAGCGCCTCTTTCCCTGTAGGATAACTGACGTGACGTAAGGACCAGCTCCTATGCCGGAGCCCATTCTCCGTCAGTTCGGGAGCTCATGGCGGACACCGGTGTTCACGGTGGCGGAGCGTCTGATCGGTGGTCAGAGTGAGCACCTTATCCCAGCCACCTGCCTCCTTGATTTCACGTATAGAATCAGTCATTTAGTTTTTTCTTGTTTTTTTGTTTTTGTTAATCCTCACCAGAGGATATTTTTCCATTGCTATTTAGAGAGAGTGGAAGGGAGGGGGAGAAAGAACCATCAACGTGAGAGACACATCAATTGCTTGCCTCCCACACATGTCCGTGACCAGAATTGAACCAGTGACCCTTCAGTCCGCAGGCAGACGCTCTAACCAATGAGAAACGGACCAGGGCAGGACTGGGGACATTTGATTGCAGTGATGTCTAACATCTTTTTTCCCTATTTTTAAAAATTTTTTTTTTTTTTTTTTGTGGATTTCAGAGGGAGAAAGAGAAACGTCAATGATGAGAGAATCATTAATGGGCAGCCGCCTGCATACCCCCAGCTAGGGATCGAGTGCAAAACCTGGGCATGTGCTCTGACGGGAATAAACCCCGACCTCCTGGGTCATAGGTCAATGCTCACCCCTGGGCCACGCCGGCTGGCAGTGAACGTGGATTTGTTTTGACCTCGGGGAGTGACACGCCTGTGTGGTCCTGTGGACACCGCTCTGGGACACTTCTGCACTGTCCACGTGGGCCAGCAGCAGCCTGTGAGGGGCCCTCCTCGTCCGCATGCTCTTGCTCTGGGGTCAGGGCGGCTCCGCTGCTGGCCGGCCGGGTCCTGTGGTGGACTCGCGGGGAGGGCTGCGGCGGCTGAGTCCTGATGCCGGGCGCGGGGAAATGACTGATGTGGGTTTAAAAGCACCGCCTGGGTAAAGTGAGCATTCCCAGGAGGCCGAGCCACACGTGTCGGGGCGTGAGGGGCCGTGGCCGGGCTGGTGCCTGACTTGGGTTCTTTCCAGGAGACAGGAGCAGTTCCAGAGGAACCCCGACAGCTACAACGGAGCCGTGCGGGACAGCTACACCTGGTCCCAGGACTACACCGACCTGGAGCTCAAGGTGCCGGTGCCCAAGCACGTGGTGAAGGGCCGGCAGGTAACCAGCCGCTCCCCTGACCCCTTCTCCCACCCAGGTGCCCCAGCACCCGCCCTCGGCCGCGCCAGCCCGTGTGCCTCGCCCTCGCCCTCGCCCTCGCCCGACCTCCGTGCTCGAGGATGCACCTGAGCTTCGCTTTAAGCTGCTATGTCTCGTGTCCGTGGCCCAGTCTCCACAGGAGACGGGCTGGGAGAGCAGCCGGGACAAGCAGCCGCTCTGGAGGGACCGTCCCAGCCGCCCTGGCGTTGTGGGTGCAGGAGGGCGCGGCGCTGCTCTGCTCGGTGTGGCCGGGCTGCTGGGCACCGGGACTGAGGCCGCGAGGCGCTTGTGACGCCTGGATTAGTGTGGCCCCCCTTGGTCTCCGCCAGCCGGACTCCCTCTCCGGCGGCGGCGTCATTGTGCCGTGACCTCCAGCGCTCCTCTCCGTTTCTCCGTGACACTCCGGGCGCGGGCGCTCAGCCCGGCGAGCTTGGTGCCGCTCTGGTTGCTGACCTCAGGGCTTCTCGAGCTGCCGCCGGGCCACACTCCCTGGGCTCCGCAGCGACCGTCCGACCGTGTATTTCTGTCTGCCCAGCGCCATCCTGATGGCGGTGTGACTGTGCAGGGGGAGGGGGCCCGAGTGTGGGGTCCTGGCCCCTTCCCCAGCAGCTGCGGACACGGGCGGGAAGCTTCTCTGCCTGCGGTGTCTGTGGCAGGGCCTGCCCAGGGCGGAGGCGGGCCGGGAGTGTCCTGGTTCGCAGGCGTCTCTCCGCTGTCGTCCGGGCAAGTCTGAAGGAAACTTCTAGACGAAGCTCGGGGCTCAGGCCTCGGAGACGTGGGCAGGTCTTTGCTTCGTCCACTCTGCTTGCCTTCCTCAGGGTAGCCATGGCGACCGTGACGTCAGCCAGCTGGTTACCGCCCTGGCGCTTTGTGAGTTGTAGGGTGCGATGCTGGAAAGACGGCCTCCAGAGCATTTAGCGTAAAGTCTCATTGCAGGTGAGAAAGCTCCTGGAGATGCAGGCCAGGCCACGCGCCCCCGTCAGCCTGGGCCACACTGACGGCAGCAGGTCCCTCTCCTAGTGCTCTCCTTCCTCCCGAGGGGGTCCTGTTGACCGGGGAGGGCCTGCGGCCCAGGGCTCATGCCGTGCTGCCGCCCTCCATGCCTGGGAACCTTCCGGAATAGCGCCCGGCCTCTGGGCATGCCCTGCCTGGAGCAGCTCAGCCCCCGCTGGAAATGCTGCTGGAGTTTGTGCCAAAAGCAGTTCATAGCAATTGAACTCCCGGTCGAACTCCCGAGGGGACACTTTACACGTTTCCCTTTTCTGTAGAGAGAAGATGGCAGTCAGTGACCGTAGTCTTCCTGTGAGGAGACATTTGAGATCTCTCTCAGCCCCACAGCAGAGCTGCCAGTGTGCGGGCGCCTCGGCCAGGGCTGCTGTGCTGGCCGGCTCTCGGCTCCTCCTCGGTCTCAGCTTTCATCCTCCCTTCCTCCGTGATGCGCAGTGTCTGAGGCGGGTGTGGCATGGGTGCAGATCTGGCTCTGCCCTGGAGGGGCTCGCTCCTGTCCTCACCCGGCCCCCGCGCCCGGACGTGGCGGTCAGCTGGGCCTGGGCTTGTTTTCTCCTCTTGGAGTTTTCAGGGCCTTTTCCCAGTCAGTGTCGGGAAGTTTTCGCCTCGGCCCCTGGGCCCTCCCGCCGGCAGCCGCCGTGGGTGCCTGGCCTGGAGGCTCGCTTCCTTCAGCTCTGGAAATGTCCAATGGCGGCCACAGCGTCCGCATGTGGGCTCCGCCTGGCCTCGGCCTTCACCCGTCTGACCCAGTCTCCAGTGGCTGCCAAGGCCTGTTCAGCTGCTGATCTCGCTGAGTCTGCCCAGCTCTGTTTGTGCGTTCATTCTGGTTCCTTAGATACACGTCTTCCCAGATCTCACTGCGGCGGCGTCGCTAGGAAGCCTGTCTGCTTCGGCTCTGTGCCTGCCCGCCTCCATGCTGCCCGTTTCCTCCCCCCTGGGCGCCTGGTTGAAAGTGTGTTTGTTTCCCACCGAGATGCAGGCCAGTGACAGCTGGCGCTGAGGCGGGCTCCCTGGGCTCTGGGCGCTGAGCTCCGCGTAGCCAGGACTGAGCCCGGCTGCCTCGCGTGGGGGGAGGGGGGATGCCGTGGGGAGGCCTGGGGAGCTGGCTGACCTGAGGCTGTGCAGGGCCCACCGAGTGAGTTCTTCCTCCTGGAGCCTGGGCCCCCGCCCCCCCCGCCGGCGTGTGGATGCCCTTTGTCCCCAGGTCTCCCGCCTCCCCGTTGTTCACAGCCCCGTGGGGGACAGTCGGTGCCTGAGCGTCTTGTTTCAGGCCTCTCACAGCCGCCCGGGCAGTGACCAGGGAGGCTGTCAGGGGCCGCCAGGTCACCTCCGTGTCCTGCAAACGACCTCGTAAAGCACCAGGTCTTGGATTTAAAGAGGAAGTGAAACGGCAGGCGGCCGTGTCTTTCCTCTTGCGGTCCTGACCCGGTGACCTGGGCCTGGGCCCCGCTTGGCGCGTGGGGGTCCTCATGGGCCGGGAGCTCGGCTTGTAGGGCAGTTTCCAGGACAGGCCAGAGCCCAGCACCGGGCGGAGGGACAGCCACAGTCAGTCTGTCCTGGGTCCGGTCAGGTCGGTCCTGCCGCAGAGGCTTGTGGAGGGAAAGCAGCCCTCCCCCTCTCCCTCTCCCCTCCCCCTCGCCCTCGTCTGGCTCTTCTGGAGGTGCCTCCTCACCACCTGCCTCTCAGGACACCTGCTGACCCCAGGATGCCAGCGCCTTGTTTCACCCCCTCCCCTCCTCTCTCCTCCCCTTCCCTTCCCCTCCCCTTCCTTCCCCTCCCCTCCCCTCTCCTCCTCTTCTTTCCCTTCCCCTCTTATCCCCTCCCTTCCTCTTCCCTCCCCACCCTCCCTTCCCCTCTTCTCTCCTCCCCTCCCCACCCCTCCCTTCCCCTCCTCTCCCTTCCCTTCCCCTCCTCTCCCTTCCCCTCCTCTCCCCTCCCTTCCCCTCCTCTCCCTTCCCCTCCCCTCCCTTCCCCTCCCTTCCCTTCCTCTCCCCTCCCCTCCCCTCCCTTCCCTTTTCCTCCCCTCCCTTCCCCTCCCCTCCCCTCTCCTCCTCTTCTTTCCCTTCCCCTCTTATCCCCTCCCTTCCTCTTCCCTCCCCACCCTCCCTTCCCCTCTTCTCCCCACCCCTCCCTTCCCCTCCTCTCTCCTCCCCTCCCCACCCTCCCTTCCCCTCCTCTCCCTTCCCTTCCCCTCCTCTTCCCTCCCCTCCCCTCCTCTCCCCTCCCTTCCCCTCCCCTCCCTTTCCCTCCCCTCCCTTCCCCTCCCCTCCCTTCCCCTCCCGCCCGCTGTCCCACTCCCCTCCCCACAGCTCGCTCTGCCCCTCAGGTCTCGGTGGCGCTCAGCAGCAGCTCCATCCGCGTGGCGGTGCTGGAGGAGAGCGGGGAGCGTGTGCTCATGGAGGGGAAGTTCACGCACAAGGTCAACACGGAGAGCTCTCTGTGGAGCCTGGAGCCCGGGAAGTGCGTGCTGGTGAGTGCGTGCCTCATGCCTGGCGGTGGAGGCCCAGGTCCCTGTGATGACGGACCTGCGGGGACACGTGGGGCCGACCAGCCCGCTCCGGGGGCGCGAGCTCTGCGCTCGGGGGGCCGCGGTCCCAGTCTGGCCTGTGGCCGGTTCGGGGCCTCTCGGGGCCTCCAGGGCCACCGCTCCGCGTCCGGCCGTTTGGCCCGGGGACTAGGGTGCAGGGCCCGCCGTCCCGCCCGGCTGTGGGACATGGGGAGCGTGTGTGCAGGGGAGGAGGCGCCATGGGAGGTTCCTGGCTGTCCTTGACGTGTGTCCGGGGAGACAGCAGGGGACCCAGACCTCCAGGCTGAGGGGAGGGAACCCTGGGACAGGGTGGGGTCTCCCGGGAGCCTGCCCCCAGCCGCCCGCCGCCTGCCGCCCACCTCCCAGCCGCCCTCCAGAGCCCGGGCCCTGGCAGCCCCTGCAGCGGGGGCGGCAGCTAATCCTGGTGCCAGTTCTCGCCTGCCTCCCGCCCACACACAGTGTGAGCGAGGCTTCGGATTCTGGCTCCTGCTCCTCCTTGGTTACCAAGCCTCCCTGGCTCCTCCCTCCCCCTTCCCTGCAGGGTGCCGGCCTCACTGCCCATGGAGCTGCCGAGGGAGCCGTCCTGCGGCGAGGTGCCTGTCACCCAGGCTGGGCAGCGCCCGTCCGTGCGTCCCTGGGGCTGTGGGGCCCAGGACGGTGTGCACAGGCGCACCCTCCCCGTGTCACAGCGCTCGAAAGGGGCGACAGGCTGGCTAGTCCTTGGCTTCTGGTTGCAGGTCCCCCCGCCCTATGTGCCACCCTGTCCCCCCAACACTGGGCCTTTGCTGACTCCCCCACATTCCTCGTCCCCGTTGGCTTTCTGGTGAGGACAAGGCTCCCGGCCGAGCAGGTGCCCAGTGGTTTGAGTGACAGCCACGCCTGAAGGCTCGCAAAGTGACTTCTGCTCGGGACGTGCAGGAGACAGCAGTCAGTGTCTCTCACGTCCATGTTCCTCTTGCCACCTCCCTCCACTCGCTCTGAAATTCAAGGGAAAGCCCCAGCCTGTGTGGCTCAGTGGATAGAGTGTTGGCCTGTAAACTGAAGGGTCCTGGGTTCAATCCCCAATAGGGAGGGTATAGGAGGCAGCCCGTCAATGATTCTCTGTCATCACTGATGTTTCTGTTTCTCTCCGTGTCCCTCTGTGAGATCAGTAAAAACATATTTTAAAAAGTAATAAAATTCCATGGGAAAACGTCCTGGGGTGAGGATTAAAAAACAGCAAGTACAGGTTGGATATGTCATCGCATTGGTGAGCCCGAGGCTGTGGTGGAGGTTGTGCTGGTGTGTGGGGTGGGGCCGCTGGCCCTCCCGCCTCTTGGGGTGAGGCATTGTCCCCGGCCCAGGCCGAGCGAGAGCAGGTTGGGTGCCAGGGTGGGTGGTGTCAGAGAGAAGCCTCCTGGGGACTCGGCCGGCAGGCAGGCGGGCGGCCTCGTAGATGGAGGTCTCCTCGTCTGCTTCCAGCCCTGCCCGACTCGGCTCCTGTGGCTCAGCTCGGGCACCCCCGACAGGAGGCTCCTGCCGCCATCCTCGTCCTCGCCTCCCCCCCCCCCCCCCATACACACACACAGCCCGACTCCCGTGTCTCCTTGGCCCAGACCTGACCCGGGGCGGCTGTGGGGAGCGACCTCCCCGGGAGGCTGCCTCCTGACCCAGAGCGGTGTGACCGAGGAGGGAGCAGTGGGCTCAGCGAGTCCCCAGCACAGACGGGGCGGGGGCGGTGTGTGTGTGTGCCACATCGGACCAGTGTCTGTGAGGAGGTTCTGGGAAAACCAGCCAGCAGCGGGGATCCCCGACCGCCCCCCCCCCCGCCCCCGCACCCCCTCAGACTGTGGCCCCCACACTGACCGCCCGCCCGCCCGCCCGCCCGCACAGGTGAGCCTGAACAAGGCTGGCGAGTACTGGTGGAACGCCGTCCTGGAGGGCGAGGAGCCCATCGACATCGACCAGATCAACAAGGAGCGCTCCATGGCCACGGTGGGCGAGGAGGAGCACGCCGTGCTGGACCGGCTCACCTTCGACTACCACCAGAAGCTGCAGGGCAAACCCCAGAGCCACGAGCTGGTGCGTGCCGCCCCGGGCTCGGGCGGTGTGGACAGGGCGGGGTGTGGACAGGGCGGTGTGGACTGGGAGGTGAGGGTGGGGGCGGGCAGGGCTCTGGCCAGACGGCACGCAGCTCACACCTGGCCAGAGCTCCGGTGGCAGAGCCGTGATGCGCCAAGCACAGACCAGCCCTGGGGCCTGCGTCCCCAGCCCTGCAGGGTCCTGTGGGGGGGCAGGCCTCGCCCGGCTGAGGTCCTCCCGTTCACTGTCAGGGCCAGAGGCCGGGGTGAGGCCAGAGACGTGGCCGTGGAGGTCACTGTGCCCGTGGGGCGTGGCCGGGAGGAGGTGTTGATGGTGCAGGTCCCTCGTGCCCTGGGGGGGCTGTAACCACGGGCGCAGGAGCCCTGCGGGCCGTCCCCCACAGGCTCGCCATCCTCAGGGCCCACTTCCCGCTCCTCACGGCTCACCGCCCGCCCGGCATGGGGGGACCAGGTGACTAGCACCGGCGTGTTCCGACGGTCGACCTGACCCCGAGACTGGAGACGCTGGTCATGTGGGGAGGGGCGGGTCCCTGGTGACGGGCCGGCGGCGGCCAGCGGTTTGGAGTCTGCGTGGAGCGCGGCCTGAGAGGCTCATCACGTGTCTGCGGGCCGGGCTGGTGGAGGGTTAACTCCTGTCTGTTTTCTGTTGTAGAAAGTCCATGAGATGCTGAAGAAGGGGTGGGACGCTGAAGGCTCTCCCTTCCGCGGCCAGCGCTTCGACCCGGCCATGTTCAACATCTCCCCGGGGGCCGTGCAGTTTTAGGGGCAGACCTCGCCTCGCGGCGGGAGGGGCTGGGCGGGGGGACTGCCCCTTCTTCCAGGGCCTGTGGCCTCTGCCCGGCCTGCTGCTCCAGCCGCTCGGAGCAGGGTGGGCCGCCCAGGGTGCTGGTGGAGCAGGTCCCCATGCCCCCTCGCTGCTGTCTGTAGTTCTGCCTGTGGTGGTGCCGTGGGGGGCGGGGGCGGGAGGAGGGGGTGGGTGGGCGACTCCCGGACGTTGGGGACTCGGCCTCCCATGCTGGGCGAGACGTCCTCGGCCGGGCACCCGGCACCCGGTCCTGGGTGATGTATGGACGTTGGAGGAAGCCCCGTGGCCGCCCGCACAGCAGGTCCTCTGACCTCTGACCGCTGCCCTGTCCCACCTCCCTGCTCCTTCCTTTGTGGGGCCTGGTTCCTGTCGGAGCTGAGTGGCTGCCCGTCGCTCTCAGCAACCCAACCACAGCTCTGCTCCCACCGCCTCGGACCCGAGCCTGCGCCCCGTCCCGCAGGCCACGTGCCCATCGCCAGGACCGGGCCTCCCACTGGAGCCTGGGACGAGGAGCCTGGGCAGACAGCCCTTCCAGAGGCTTCCAGCTGTGTGCATGGCGGGAGCTGGTTCTCGCCGGAGTTCTGCTCCCAGGGCGGCCTCCCTGCGTCCCCGTGGTGCCGTTGGCATGGGCACGGTGCCGGGTGGCTGAGCCCTGACCCTCGCGTCACCGGCCAGTCCTGCGCCTGCTGGGCCCCTCCTCGGCCCAGGTCTCTGTTGTCCGTGTGACGCGTGCCCCTGGGTCTGCCCCGAGCGAGGTGGGTGGCCTGCGTCTCAGTGATGGGGACGGACCACGGCTGGTGGCTGTCCTGGCCCGCTCCTGTTCTCCGTGCGCCGCTGTCCGCGTCCGGGAGGGAGCCGTCACTGCGGCCAGAGGCGGTGCCCTCCCATCGGGGCGCCTCTGCCCTGACTGCCCTGCAGCCGCTGCTCCTGCCTGTTTTCTCTCTGCAGACGCGGCGGCAGCAGCAGACGGGCCGTGGAGCCCGGCGAGGCCCGAGGACAGGACCACCGTGCACCACGTGGGTTTGCAATAAATGTGTCTGAGCACTCGGCCTCTGCGTGGCTTTGTTCTGTGCGCCCATCCCGCGTGCCAGCTGGGCGTCTGCCCAGCCTCCTGCACGGTCCGTGGGCGAGGTCGGCATCTTTAATGAGTGGGAGTGCTTCTGGGGCTGGAAGGGAGGAGGAAGGTGGACTCCACAGCGTTCGGGGAGGGCGCAGTCAGTCCTGTGGGATGTGTCCTGGCGGCTGCAGCCCTAGGAGCCCTGATGGCGGGCGGCCCACACCCACGTGACGGGCTTGTGGGCAGGTGGGCTGGGCCCCGTCTGAGCTGGCAGTGTCCCTGAGTGCCCGCTGCTGCACTCCAGCACCACGTGGACGTGGGCCCCTTGGGAGGGAGCCAGCCAGCCCGTCCTGCAGTCTTGCCCTGCCTGGGGTGGTTCAGCAGCTGATGCCTGCTGGGGGCGTGGGGGGACAGGGCCCTGGGGGAGACGGCCCCCCTGACTGTCTTCCTGGTGCCAAGGCTGGGGGAGGGCCCTGTGCCTTGTGGGATGGCATCCTTGGGAAGCTGCTGGGTCAGGACCTTCCAGGGTTTGGGGAGGTCACTGGGGCCTGGCAGTGTCCTCGGTTGTCCTGGGCTCCGGAGGACGCAACTGCAGAGCACCTGCAGGAGCCCACCCTCGGGGGTCCCAGAGGTTCTGGGGTGACAGGCTGGGAGGTGCCTGCAGCCCTGGGCCTCCTCAGGGCCGTGGAGGGAGCAGAGGCAGGACCAGGAGGGAGACGAGAGGAACCGCTGCTGCTGCCCTGCTGGACCCCCACCCGTCCTGTGAACGCAGGGAAGTGGTCCCCTTCTGTCCCTGAGGGTTTAACGGGCCACCCCATCCTCCATGTGTGGGATCCCCACACCCAATGACACCCCGCTCTCCATGTCCAGGGGTCCCCACACCCAGTGACACCCCAACCTCCATGTGTGGGATCCCCACACCCAGTGACACCCTGCCCTCCATGTCCGGGGGTCCCACACCCAGTGACAGCTTGCAGACCCCTTCCTGCAGGAGCCAGACCAAGCTCAGGGGATCAGCCTTGGCCCTGACCCCCACCTGCATCCCTGCAGCAGCTCCCGCCCTCCCTCATGAGCCCACCCTGGGAGGGCCTCCGGGGCCTGCCCTCCCCCAGCCCTCAGGCTCTCGGAAGCTCACACTCTAAAATTGTTTATGTGGTGAAGCACCAGACAACCACTGAGCCACCTGGCCGGCCGGCTGTCTTCACCACAGCTGCAGCAGAGCTGCAACGCCTGTGAGGCACCTGCCGGGCTCGCCGGCCGGGCGTCTGGGCCAGATGCTCTCCCGGGTCATCGTGGTGCCTGCACACCGGCCTCGGCCACTCGGTCTGCAGCCCCCGAATTCAGGGGTGCGGCAGAGCCGGCCTGGGACAGACCGACCGGCCCGGTGCACGGCCCCTGGCACATGTCAGGTTGTATTAGTCTGTGAGGCCGCCTAACAAAGCGCCCGGAGCGTTGCTGACACGACAGAAATCCTTGCTCTCGCCCGGAGGCTGGGATCCTGCGTCAGCAGGCTGGTTTTCCCCGAGGCCTCCCCACGGCTCCTCATAGACACTGCCTCCGCCTGTCCTCACACGGCCTTTCCCTGAGCCTGCGGGCCCCAGTGCCCCCAGGTGTGTCCTAATAACCCACAGCATCCCACCAACTTAATCACCTTCAGAGCCCGCCCACGTCCGAGATGCTGGGGATAGGCTTTCATTCACCACAGGGACTGGGGGGACACATTAATAAACCCTGGTCCAGTGGATGCCGCGTGGCCGAGTGCAGGGGGCCTGATGAGGCGGGGATCTCCCTTTTCTGCTTCCCACACGGAAAGAGAGATGAACCTACTGGTTCTGAGTGGAAGCGGCCAGGGATTGAGAATAGAAATAGAGAAGACACAGAGATAGATTTTAAGCTGGGAGCTGGTGGGCACCATCCTGTCTGCTGGAGAGGCAGGAGGAGGATGACGACCCCTCCCAGAACATTTATTTTATAGCCCAATTCCAGGAAGTAGCACCAGCTTATTTGCATTCTTAAGTCGGCCCTAGCATGTCTGGATTTACATATCTAGTCCCGCCCCTGCCGATACCTGGACTGATAGGAAGGCCAAGCTGACAACACGTCCGCCATCTTGGGGAAACATGTTCCCAAGGTGTGGCTCTGTCTGTGCTTTGAGTTCAGCTGATGATAATTAAGGAAAACCGCCCATGTGTCTTCCCAGGCGGCCCTCTATAGCCGAGGTCTCGGGCACACGACACGCAGGCAGGCAGTGCTGAGGCCCGCAGGCTGTCTTCCCGGGAGCCAGGCAAGGCCATCGTTTCTTGGGTTTGGACAAACCAAGTCCAACATGTGAGCCCGGACAGCACGCCATGCCGAAAGTGAGCCCGTCCATGTGAGGGAAACGGTGCCTGGGCACAGAGAGGGATGTCAGGACCAAGGTTATTCACCAAAGGGCACCATTCAAGGTTTTGTATAAGCCTAACAATTTCAAAATATACAAAGAGAAGAAAATTGGCAATAATAGCGGAAATCTTTAACTCACCTTTAATATGTTAAGAGTGCAAGTAGACTAAAAAAACCCACAAAAAACAGAAAAACACCAAAAAACGCAGTAAAGACCAGACGAGCATGACTAACAAACGACAGCCGACAGAATAGAACTCCTGACAGGGCACACGTTTTCTGTCTATGGAACGTTACAAAATTATGTTTGAGCTGTTTTAACACATTTTAAAAGGTTTAAAATTATTTAAATTATATCCTAGGAGTAGAAGGTAACTTCCTTATTCTTTTAGAGTCTCTACAGATACCTTCCTGATGATGAAATATTGAAAACTTGCCATGGTATCAGAGAGCTTAGCGAGTGCAAAAGGCAAGCAGGAAAAGGTCGGGAAGGGAGAGAGAAAACAGTAACTTAAGGGGAAGAGATCCACCTTATAAAAACCTTATAAAAAGGTTATCGAGGTTGCTGGCTGTAATGTCAGTATTTTACTTTCAAGATCAGACGAGATCGGGCGCGTTCAGGGTGGTATAGCCGTAGACTAATGTCAGTATTTTATACCTTGTGTTTACATGTCAGCAACAATTCAGAATATCTTAAGAATTATTTACAATAGGATGCTCAAACATAAAAAAACCTAGCCATGAATCTAACAAAAGACAGAAACCCGGTATGCAGGCGAACATGAACTTTGCTGAGATAAAGGACACGGAGATGAAGGCTGTGTAATAAATCTAACGGAGAGACGTGGAGGGCTGCTGGCTTTGTTAGTGGTTCAGGGCTGGACAGCAGCTGCCCCGCAGAGCGGAGGCCCTGGAGGAGGTGCACAGGGTGAGCGGCTTTTATAGGAGAGGCCAGGCAGGCACCACCCGCAGGAAATGAAGCTCATTGGAGGAAAGTGAGTTCACATGCCAGGACGGCTTCCCATTGGCTGAGCTTCGGCTTCAGGGCGTGTTGCTGGGCAAGAAGAGACTCTTCCTCCGGCTGGGGTGGTGACATGTGCACTGTGGAGTGGCGGTCACCTCCTGTTGGGGACCTAAGGGGCTGTGATTGACAGCCGTGCCAGAGGGCTTCCTGTTGGCCCAGTGGACAGCTGTGGTAGGAGCGCGAGGGCTCCCCCCACAGGCCGTTCCGACTCCAGTGTCAGTGGCGGTTCCTTAGGTTCACAGGTGGGTGCTGTGCTGTGGGTTGTTAGACTCAGAATGGGAGTTATTTCAGTTCTCTGCAAGCTGAGCTGGATCCTTAATGCACACCACTCCCCGAAGTAATATGGCAGAAGTGTGTGAGTGTGAGTGTGTGTGTGAGAGTGTATGTGTGGGAGTGTGAGAGGGAGTGTGAGAGAGTGAATGTGTGTGAGTGTGTGTGTGAGTGTGAGAGGGAGTGTGAGAGAGTGAATGTGTGTGTGTGTGAGAGAGTGTGTGT